GGAGGTGGATCATCTTAATAGTTAGCAAGAGCTGTTTTCTAGTTCTTTTTGTTGTTTGTTTGTTTGTTTGTTTGTTGGTCTTTTTGAGACAGGGATCTCCCCATGGCCCCAGCTGGCCTAGAACTAATTATGTAGACCAGGCTGGCTTTGAACTCACAGAGGCCCACCTGCCTCTGCCTCCCTAGTGCTGGGATTAAAGGCATGAGCCACTGTGCCCAGCATAAGAACTGTTTTCCAAAGAGTATCTTTGCTGTTTAAAATAGGCTATGAATAAAGCCTATGAAACTATTTTAATGAAATCTGACTTTAATTTTTTTCTGTACAAAATATATATTGGAAGAAGAGATATGAGACTGTGTCAAAAAATACATTGAGAGATATTAACTCTAAGTCTTACAGAGTACAGTGCATGTGGGATGTCTCATTTTATCCTTTGCAAAATGCTATTGCTTTTTCTAAAGAGTACAATTCCTTTTTCTTGCCTATGTTCCATGTTCTCTTTACACTCCAGGGTAAGGCCTGAGAAGGAGAAATCCATTTCAGCTTTCCTAACAATATAAACTTATCGGAGAAGGTGGGAGTGAACATGAGAGGAACGGCTTAGTATTTTTGCCACTGTACTTTTACATTCACCATGGTAGCTCCCTCCTCAACCACCACCAGGCCCTACCCACTCTTTTTTCCATCAGTGGTTCCCTGGCCTCCCACAATTATTCAACCAGCCCCACTGAATAATTTTCTTCCCCCAGCCTGGCATAACAACAAAGCTCAAAAGCAGGAAGGAATGCCACTAAAAGGCAGGTTGGACAATAATGTCATTAACAGATCAAGGAGAATTGGTATTTCTGAAAGTCCTGCAGAAAACTCAGGCTGACTTCCAGGGTCAGGGCATTACCAGAAAACTCCAGTCTCTAAGCATGAACAACTAAATCAAAAAAAAAAAAAAAAAAAAAAAAAAAAAAAAAAAAAAAAGTCTCCAAGTGAATAAAAGCATGTATAACAATTATTCCCTTCTGTGAAAGTTATAAGCGTCACACAGAAATTTTAATTAGAAACAAATTTATATGAAGCCAGTTTGGGAGAGTACCTCCCTCGGTCTCACACTGAATAAGGTTCGGGGTGTGTATTTTCATATGTCTTTGCCAAATAACACTCTTATAACAGTAATCCATAATGCAAGAAACAAAGTCAGCTCATGAGGAGCCCAATTCTACACCTGCTACGTGTAGATGATAAAACCCAGCCCCTGCTTATAAGGAGAAACAGGGTTTTATACAGTCATATACAAGAGGGTTTGTGGATTTATGGCTCCAGCCACAAGCTCATGAAAGAACAAAGAACAAGTTGACTACAGGATCAGATTCACATTTGAGACTCCAGAGGAATTAAAGACCAGTGAAGTACACCTTCCAAAGCACGCTCTCAATCAACAGAACACACCATGGTCTCTAGCTATGAATAAGAGGCATGTGCTTGACTTAAGTTGTGCCTTCCATTCAAGAAAGGAATCCAGGGGCCGGAGACATGGTTAAAAGCACAACACACTGCTCTTGCAGAGGACCTGAAATTGGTTCCCAGCACCCACATAAGGCAGTTCACAACCTCCTGAAACTCTGGTTCCAGGGGATCTGATGCCCACTGGGCTCCACAGGTACTTGCATGTACATGGTGCACCTAAGCTCAAACAGGCACACATACACACACACTAAAAAAAAAAAAAAAAAGTATTTTTTTAAATGAAGAAATCCAGTTACACAAAGGAAATTATACTCCTCCATGTGAGAAGAGTGTCTAAGACTAACATTTCATCTAAAGGTGGAGATAAATTACAATTAAAGCATTAAAAATAGGGGCTAGAGAGATAGTTCAGTGGTTAAGAGTACTGGCTGCTCTTTGAGAGAACCCAGGTTCGGTTCCCAGCACTCACATGGCAGCTCACAACATCTGTACCTTCAGTTCCAGGAGGTTAACACCTCTTCTATCCTCCACAGGCATTGTACACACATGGTGCAACTGCACACATGCAAACAAAACACTCATATACATAAAATAAAAAGAAATAAATAATTCGAAATTTCAAAGCAATGAAAATAAATGATCAGGACTGGGGGTGTAGTCCAACAGTAGAAAAGCCTATCTGTCATGCGTGAGGCCCTGGGTTTGAGCCTCAACTTTGCAGAAAAACAAGCAAGATAATTAAATGAACTTAGGCACTCTTACAACTGTCCAACTTACAGAAGACCCAAATGGCATCAGAGAAACGGCATCAAAACCCAAATAGCAAAATGGAGATGAAAACTATCAAATAGCTTTTGTATTCTCAAGAAACAACATAATTCAGGGTTGCCACCTTATCCAAAATCATTTCCAAGATGACAGCTCCTTCAAGACAGAGGCCACCACATCTTACACATCTTTATGTCCCCAGCACCTAGTCTAGTGCCTGAGAGTCACGCAGCAGCAGACGGTGATTCTGATTATGCATTAAATGCCTGGCTTTCATCTGCATTCACTTCTGTTACATCAAAAGTTCAGATACTGGTATGTTAGTGTCACTAGGGAGCTTCTAGAAGTTCGGCAGAAATAACTGGAAGAAGTATCTCCATACCGAAGAGCAGCAGCTGCAGATACTGATTCTCTAGAGTGCCAAGCATGACTTTTGTGGTAGCTTGGCCCCTTTCCCAAATCCAGAATAACCAGTTAGGGTCAGTCCCCAAAATGATTTGGACTCTGCTCTTGCAGCAGCATTCGAGGGCCGCATGATTCCTGACCTCTGACTCACCCTGGGGGTATCAGACACCAAGAACCTGTTCAAGGAACATAAGGCCATGACAAGGCCGGGGGAGACACAGAAGCCAGGACTAGCAGAAACTTCAGAGAAACAATCTCAGTGTGTGTCTAAATGTTCCTTGGCCTCTGAAACACTGAAACAATGTTTCCAGAAGGGAATTTCAAACAAGCTTTTTCTGATTAAAAGTATTCACACTGTTCAAGAGAAATGCATTTTCCAGGAAGCTAAATAGTTTTACTGACTTGATAAAATAAACTTCTTTCTTTCTAGAGAGAGCATACTTTTCTCTTTCCTGTGCAATTTGGCTACAAAAACCAAGTTCATAATCTGAGATTCTCAAACTGATTATTTTTAAAAAGACATGTCTTACACTGACCTAGTTTAGAATCTCGATGCCTTTAGAATTGCCAATGAACTGAGACCATTCATGAGAAGGGAGCTTTTGAATGCTGGGAATATTCTTCAGGGCTCAGCACAAAGATATTTGGCATGGATGACTGTAAATATTTGTAAAACCCTGGGTAAATGATTCGTGTTTGACCACACTTCATCCTTCTTCCAGCACCAAACTGCAGGACTGAGTTATCTAGGGTGACTGGTCTGGGGGATTTTAGGTCAAGTTTGTACTATTTGTTTTAAATAAAAAGCTAAGAAAGCCAATTCTGGTGCTTGGCATTTTTGACATTCACTGTACGTGTTAACTTGTGATTTTTCACTCATCTAGACAGGCACTTAAAGGGTACTTTGAGAACAAGGATTTTTTTCCCCTTTCTCACTTTTCCAACTTGATGCCTACCATAAGGCATAAAAGGCAAACCAAAGGTGTGTAAAGGCAGGAGGCAGATGGAGTCATGCATGACCTTGGACTTCATAACACAACTCTTTCTCTTTCTCTTCAAGATAGTTTCAGAAATACTTCAGAGCCTGATGTCCATGAAAAGGACTGAGGTTTACAAAGGACAGAGTAAAGAGGAGGGTACCAGAGAGGTGGTAGATGTGAACAGAACCAGACACCAAGAGAAAGCTATAGCAGATACTTTAATTGGCTGGCAACTTGGTTAAGACTGGCTGCGTTCCTTCGGCCTGGTACCCACACCCTAAAAACTGAGTCATCCCAAAGTTCATTTATTTTGCTTCTGGGCAGAGACACCCCTAATCTGCCTCTTTGGAAATGCCGAAATTATCCTTCCATCCACCCCTCTCCATGTTCAAATGAACAGTCAGAAATGCCCAGCCAGAACACTGATCATCCTATTAGAGTCTCCAGCTCATGTCTTGGTAAGATACCTGGGCCAGAAAGCAAGAGGAAAGTGACAGTGAACCGTGGATACACACAGAAAGGTAGCTGTGTTCTGAGAAATGGGAATATGAGAGAGAGACAGAGAGAGAGAGAGAGAGAGAGAGAGAGAGAGAGAGAGAGAGACAGGAGAGTTGACAACCAAATTCTTGAAACTAATCAGAAAAGGGGCCCTAAGAGTGGTAATGCTAAGATACCTTTCCTCCCTGAAACAGGAATCGGTTTCATTTTACCATCAACTTGAAAACAGGATCAGAGCATCCACTCTCTTGTATCAGTAATTACCTGATAAAAATAATCACCATAACGTATGGCCCAGACTGCACGGTTAACAGACTGTCTTAATCAGAGCCGTGTGTCAACATATTACCATGCATTTCCAAATAACACAAGGCAGACGTCCAAGCGTATGCCAACTTTCACTCTCCCCCAAAGTCACGCCTGAGAACTGGTCCAATATTCAGTTTTGCAACACATTCTGTAAAGACCATTTTATTAGAAATAAAACTAATTTTTTTTCGCCTTTTCAGAGGCTTTTTTTTTTTTTAACGTTAACAGGTGTGTAAGGCACTCGGAACGCATGCCATTCTGTATGGCTCCAGCACGAAAGCCACAGCCCACGCTGTCACCTTAGCCCAGTCGGTCCTTCTAGCAGCCTTTCCTGCCTTGCAGCGCCCGCAGCCTATGCACACGCACATGCACCAGACCTACCTCCCTGGAGCAGAGACGTCCGGCTTCTCCTCGGGCTAGCCTGCCCTGCGCTCCGCCGGACTAGCCTGCCCTGTCCGCCAGCCGGGGCAGCTCGCACCCCGGGGAGGAGCTCTCAACCTCTCCCCTCTGCCTGCCTTCTCCGCCTGGCTGACAGCTTTACACTTCTGCAGGATTGCCACAGGACTCCACGCCCAGACCTACCGCTCGGGAAGAGGAGGAGTCCCCATCCGCCTCCAGCTTGGACCGCAGGAGAGCCGGCGAGCGGCGCGGGGCGCAGCTCCAGCCCGGGCCAGCGCGTTTATTTACACAGGAAGCGCAGGCGCCGCACTTCCTACTTCCATCTGGGTCGCACTTCGGCGGCAGGTGATGGCCTTAACCCTGTCGGATCCCTGCCGCGGCGGTTCGGCTCGAACCAGGCGTGTGGTCTCCCAGGAATCCCGAGCGGGTGTAGACTGCAGCCCCGCGCGCCGACTCCGGCAAAGTTCACCTTGGCCTCCGCGCCTGCAGCTTCTCGGTGCGCACCCTCGCTGGCCACCTCCCTTCTCCCTCCTTCCGGGTGCTTTAAATCTTTCTTCTACTTTTGACAGTGCCCACCTCACCCCAAAACCCTTCCCTAGCTCAGCTCCCCCAAATCAGCCTGTACTTCCAGCTGCCCTTTGGCATGTACTAGAAAATCAGGATGTGGGCAAATCAAGTCAGGAGCGGTCTTAGTTTGCTTCAGTTTTAGGGCTCTGGGAATAAATGACATAATGATTTTGCTTTAAGTACTTTGTCAACAAATGGTGTGAAAAACACACTTGTACCTTAATTGGTTTTGCTCTCACTTAAAGACCATCAAACAACGAATCCAGAAACTACGGGGTAGTGTGGCCCGACTGTGGCCACTTAATTAGTACCATGCTTTCAGTGATTGACATACCTCCCAGACTGTCCCCACTCCCCCCATCCTTTACAATTACAGGCCCAAACCTGTTGAACAGTCGCTTTTAAAAAAGATCCCTCCTCTGACACAGGAATTTTCCCGAGGTCTCTGCAACCTAACTTTACTTTTACAACCACAGTCAGGAATGCACTTCCTGAAAGGGTCTCACAAATGCTTTGTGGAATATGTGTGTGCAGTGACTATCAGCAGTCTGCATGCAGGACCCAAGAAATCTGCCTCTCAGCTCATGTGAAAGCCAACCTCTAGGTCAAGGCCAAGTGCTGAAGAACACAGTGTGTCTATCTCTGTGTGTTGTTGGAACAGGAGGGAGGACCAGCCCACTGGGGGAGGAGGGGTTGAGGAGAGGAAGAGGGGGAAGATGGGGCAGATAAGACATTAGGAATATACAATAGGGGCCTAAAATCGTATAATCAAACGACGTTCGAGCTTGTAGAGTCCTTCTTAACCCAGACACCTAAGTTTAAAGATGATGTCTGGAGAGATATTTTAAGTGGCTAGCTCAAACAAGACTACAGCTGAAGCAAGATGAAATCCGTGGTAGTGGGGCTGGAGAGATGGCTCTGTGGTTAAGAGCACCAGCTGCTCTTGCAGAGGACCCGGGTTTGATTCCCAGCACCCACATGGTGGCTAACAACCATAGGTAACTCCAGTTCCAGGGGAATTCAACACTCTCTTCTGACTTCCATGGGTGCTACATGATACAGGTGTTCTTACATACATGCAGGCAATACACTCATACATACAAAATAAAAAAATTTTTTATAAGATATGTGCTAATGAAAATCATGAGGAAAAATAGCTACCCAGATTTAGCAGGGGCTTATAGTCCCAGACAACCTACCTCCAGGAAGTTCCTTGGTATAGTAGTCATTAGTGACAGGCAAGAGACAGGAAAGAGAACCCAAACAGCTCCTAACTGGCTAGTGTGTTCCTTAGTGTTGATACGAATCTTCTGGGCCTTAAAGCAAAGTTCAACACAGAGTCCACTTTTTACATTCCCAGCAATTAAGTCTCTTATCAGCAGGATAAGGAAAGCAGCCACAGCCAATATGAATGAAAACAGGTTGGGCAATAATCACTCTGCCTTGTGACACAAATTTTTTTTTTATATTACTGAATAATACCACCATAGATTATTTTCAATCATACAAACTGCTGCCAAAAGTTAATAAGACTTACCACGTTGTGCCGGGTGTGGTGGTACACACCTTTAATCCCAGCACTTGGGAGGCGGAGGCAGGTGGATCTTTGTGAGTTTGAGGCCAGCCTGGTCTACATAGAGAGTTCCAGGCGGCGGAGGCAGGTGGATCTTTGTGAGTTTGAGGCCAGCCTGGTCTACATAGAGAGTTCCAGAAAAAAAAAAAAAAAAAAAAAAAAAAAAAAAAAAGACTTACCACGTTGAGAGTTACAGGAAATATTCAAATAACTCTTTCAGATCTGTCGAAGGTGTCTATGAAGGAATATTCATCCTTTCCAGTTTATTGATCTTTCAGATAAACTACCGTGGGCTAGGAAGACAAAGGAAAGGGAGACAGTCCCTTCCCTGAGCGACCTCTCAACCCAGGGTTAGCATCACATACGCAAACCATTAGCAGTGCATCCTGACAAGGGCTGTGACTTGATGTCATGCTCTGTGGGAGCACAGAGAAGAGCCATCTGACTGAAGGAAGGGGAAGGGGTGCTGGTAGTAGAAATCAAAGACTTTTCTGAAGTGATTATTTCAATCTGAGTCTTAACATAGCTTAGAAAGAAAGGTGGTGGAGAGAGACCCAGGGAGAGCAAGTGGCTAGTGACGTGGGATTGGGCTTGGATGGGAGATTTTAGGGAAGCTTTTCATACAGACAGAGCCAGTGTATTTAGAATAAAAGAACGAAGGCCTGAACTGATGTACAGTTCCGTCTGGAAAAGGGTCTTCAGGCACAGAGCTGATGGGGTCTGATGGGGTCATGGGTGTAGGAGATAAGAGACAGAGGTGTCCAGACTGCGGGTGCTGCTAAGGGGGATTTGGGAGAGGAAGTGAAAAGGAGAGTCCAGTAGACTCTCGCCTCCCTGCAGGCCAAGTGCAAGGACTATCTAGTGGGCCATTGAGATAACAGTTGTCTGGGTAGAGGGCCATTTAGGAACTGAATTCATTTAGGTGGTGGCCATGGCTGAAATGACCAAGAATTAAGGTCACCCACAAAAAGTAGCATTGCATAGAGAGAAGCAGGCTCTTGATGGAGAAAGACTCCATCACCCCCTCTTTATAACCAGGTGACCTTCCACAAGATCACTAACATAAATCCAGTTTTTACATCTGTAAACCCGGCTTTTCCATCTGATACTAAGAAGGACGGCATGCAGCTCACAGGCTGTTCTGAGAGTAAATGAGAGGTTTGTACAGAAGCTAGCACAGGACTAGATGGGACAGGAACTCCTGCACCTCCACAAATGGTAGGAAGAGGGACAGTGACTGTCAGCTGTGGGGTTGTGCAATCCACAATTTGCTCAGCTGTGCTTTGTGGTCCTGGCCTGACAGGAAATAGGAACTGAATCAGGGATGTTCTTCAGGAAGGGAAGTGAAAAGGGAAGAGAAAGGGGTCAGAAAAAAGAACCCCGAGACAGATCGGTACTTGCAAGTAGGAGCAAGAACCCTGAAACAAGCCTGCGAAAGAAGTGCTTCTTTTAGACTTGAAAAACGGATGGAACACTGATATCTGTAAGGGGTAAAATCTATGCATGGCAACCGAAAAGTATTTTTATCTTTCTGAGTGAGGACATAATATTATACATTGCTCACCATCATCATAATAAAGGAACCTTTCTTTTTTAAACATATTTTACATACTAATTTTGTTTTATGTGTATGAATGCATTGCCTGCATGTATGTAAGTGCACCAGTGTCATGCAGTTCCTGCAGAGGTCAGAAGATGGTGTCAGATCCCCTGGGACTGGAGTTACAGATGGTTGTTAGCTGCCATGTGGGTGCTGGGAATCAAACCCAGGTCGTTTGCAAGAGCAACCAGTGCTCTTAACCACTGAGCTGTCTCTCCAGCCCCCAAAGGAACCTTTCTTAATGTGAATCACAAACCTTCCTAAAGAGAAGTCATACCAGAATCTTGATTAGTTGTAATTAGAATTATATTCCTTGTAATAGATTCACAGTCATGCAAAAGCAAAACCCAATTAAATCCAAAGCAGATTTAAAGATTTCCAACCGGATGTGGTAGCACATACTTATAATCCGAGCCCTTAGGAGACTGACACAGAGGATCACAAGTTTGAAGTCTTTCAGGTCTACGTGGCAAGATTCCATCTCAAAAAAAAAAAAAAAAAAAAAAAAGTTTCCCTGAATGTGAGGCAAAAAACTAAATATATTTATCAGATTCTATGTATATGTAAGACACTTAAATAAGAACATACATCTTATTATACAATGAGTAATATATAACAGACATATATTATAAAAGCATTGTAGTCTGACATAAGACAAGACTTAATGGGCCAACAAGATGGCTCAGTAGGTAAAGGAGCTTGCTGCCAAGCCTGAGTTCAATCCCTGAAAGCCACATGGTAGAAGGAGAGGACCTGGACTCCCACAAGTTGACTTCTGGCCTCCACATGCAGACCCACACTCTCACACACATCACACACACTAATAATTAATTTAGTTAGTTAGGTTTTATAGTGCACACCTGTAACCCCAGCGCTCACATGGCTGAAGCAGGAAAATCGTAAGTTCAAGGCTAGCCTGGGCTACATAGCAAGCAAGACCTTGTCTCAGAAAGTTTTTTAAAATATTTATTTCATTTAGTTTATGTGTACAGGGGTTGGGGGTATGTGCATGTGTCCTCAGAGGTCAGAAGTATCAGATCCCCTGAAGCTAGTGTTAGAGGCGGTTGTGAGCCCCTGGACGTGGGTGCTGGAAATCAATCTTAGGTCTTGTGCAAGAGCAGCAAGTGTTCTTAATCACTGAGCCATCTCTCCAGGCCCAAGAAAAAGTATTTTTGATAAAATTTTAAACCAAACTTAGAATACAATTCACACTGATATTAAGATTTTCCTAAAAGGTCTATTTTGGTTCTATAAACTCGATGAAATAATCCTTTCAAGTGATAAATTTAACTAAATTTCTATGTGAAACATTTGGTGATATCAGTATAAATCTAGCATTACTTAACTATGAAAAATACTGTTCTTCTAGAGGGACCAACTACATTAACAACCATTACTTCATTTTTCATACAGGTCTGAAAAAAGCTTAATATTGAAAAATGGGTGAAAAGAACTAGAAAAGTCATTGATGGAATGGAAAGGCCATGCTTCACAGAATGAAGTAGCCTGCAGCTACGGCTGTTAAACTGTTGTCTTTGGGCAAAGAATACTTAAACTATTTACAGACTTTTTAAGTAGGCATTGATGCTTCCATAGATTTGAAAACGACATACCCATTACCACTTTTTGTGGAGAAACAGAAATTTGGTTACATTTTCATTTAACTTTCACATTTGCAGCCCATTTTCTGCATAAAGGATCATGTCAAAATCATTTTTGTTTGTTTGCTTTGAAACAGAGTCTCGGGGCTGGAGAGATGGCTCAGTGGTTAAGAACACTGGCTGTTCTTGCAGAAGACCGGGGTTCGAATCTCAGCACTCACATGGCAGCTAACACCCATCCGTAACCCTAGTTCCAGGGGA